CCACTTATGCGCTGTATGTTGTACGAGGGAGAATACCTCGTCCTGAAGCACATTAACCACAGGAAACCTCTTTGCAATGCCTCATAAAATCTTTTAAGAGAGTGGAGAAAGTAAACTGTGGTGCCTGTCTGACAGCTGATGGATGAACCTACAGCAGCCGCCTCCTCCCTCTGACTGCTTGTACGTGAGGATAACAGCTGACGTTTCTCTATACATTCCTTTTTATTGCAGTACTCCCCACTTCCCTGCGCTGTCTGCGACTTCCATGAGTCTGAAAGTGTAAAGGCCTCATACCATTCTGTATGAATATCAGTGAGTTCTGCTGAGATAAGGTGGTCCTGAGTCTGTAAAAAGCTGCCCTGAGTGAAAATTGTTTGAAGCAGTAAATGATAAATTTAAAAACAAATGTGCTTGAAATGTAATTTAAAAGATAATTTAAATTAGAAACTGAGCACTGCTTTTACCATCATCATGACTGTGTTAGAGGCTAACTGGGTGTAGCAAACCACCTTTAAGGATTTTATACATGTAGCCATTTGTGAGTGTTTTTGCTAACTTCAGCAGGTGTCTCTAAATGTGTCTCTTTGCTCACATTATCCTCATAAAGGCCTAAAGATTTCACAATAAAAGCATTATCTCTACTATATCTACCAAGCCACTTGATGCTGCCTTGCCCTCCTGACAGCTCTTTCCTCATCCTGCCATCCACCAAAGCTGATTGGACCACAGGACTGGGGCAGTGGTCCAATCAAACTGGAGCCCCAGAAATAGTACCTGCTTTTGAATGACCTTCCAATTCCTCCAGGCCCTGAGTTTCACAATCAGGGAGCTGACAAATTACCGGCTGTCTGGTTCTTCATTTATAACCGATTGCACCGTAGAGACCTCACATGGCATAGGGCACCATCCACCTGTCCTACGCTCTCGATTTTATGCATTTCATTTGTGTACACTGGTTAACATTCACAGTTGTCTTTAGAATAGAAAAGAGCCCTACAAAAATGGATAACAGTTTGTTCTCACCACTGGTCCCTGAGGTCCTGGCGGCCCGTTGGCCTCCGAGGTGCAGGTGCAGGCGTTAGGAAGAGACGGACACTTCATCTCATCTCTCTGTTTGTGAAAGAAGAAAACAATTTAACTGTCAAAACAATGGTAAAAATGCAAAAGTAAGGCACGGATTGCGAATCATGCGAGGTCAAATGAAATTCCTTTTGAAATCGCTGCTGAACAGTCACACGACTCTCATTGCACAAAGACTCTGCACAGGATGTCTGCAAGTAAAAAGTCTTCCACGAGGTGGTGAGCAGAGACAAAACTGTGCTGTGTGGCGCCCTGTGGTATCATTTATTGGTATCGGCTTCACCGACAAAGACAGTGAAAGTAAACTACAGGCTTCATGTAGTTCATATAAGCTTCTTACATGAACTTTCTGTTCACGAAGCTCTAAAATCCCATCAGTATAAGGGAAGATATAGAGTTAGCATGGCCCATAGTACAACTGATAAGAAAAATCCTGTGTTGTGAGTATTTCTGAATAATGATGACATCCTTTCCTATTCACGCTGACTGGGAATGCTAACTATGATGTTCACAGAGTTGCTTGGATTTAAAGCATTTGCTAAACACTCATCTTGGACCCGATGTGTGGATATTTCAGCTCACGCAGGACTTTCACATGGATGTGAAACTCCTCTTGTCTGGGTGGATATTTCCACCGAGTCCTCGCAGATCGCCTCAGTTTGGATCATTTAACCAATCAAGCAGCTGTCCCTGCTCGGCAGCAATTTAGATAATAATCCGCTGGAGTTGAAGCACTTTTCAAAATGTTTTGTACATCCAGCTGCAGACATACTGCGCTCAAACAAAGCTCCATTTGTTGCTGCGTCTCTGGAGATCTCTGCTGGGACCGAAGTGAGAAACCGTCACACTGAGAGAGGGCAGCCGCTTAACCACAGCCTGAGCTGTTCTTACTGTAGATTTGTTCTTACTGTGTTCTTACACAGATTTTCACCCCACAAAGAGCTTGACAAACACCAGAAAGCATTTTCACAAACAACATTTGGACCTGCCCTGGATGAATGAGATTCATATGTTCTCGAGTTCTCTACGGCCTAAAAATTAAGATCTCCAAACACTACTGTTGTTCCTCCTTCTCTTTCTGATCACCATCTAACTGTCCGCCATCAGAATGAGGCTAAGGGAGGGGCGGTCCCTTCCTGTTAAAAAAGGAATTCTTCCTCCCCACAGTCGTCAAGTGCTGCTCACAGTGGATCGTCTGTTTGTTGGACTGTTCTCTTGCTAATATTCGCGGGTCTTCAGCATACAGTGTAAAACCATTTGAGAGGACTGATTTGTGAGTTGGTGCTCACTAAAGCATGTATTTGGAGTACGTGCAGAATGTGGTTTGGCACAATCCTGCTGAAATTCATCAAGATTTTCTCCAAAGTCTTCTGCCATGTAGCATTAATGGTGCCTTCATAGGTGTGCAAGTTACCTGTACTGTACCATACTTTGAACTTTGCTCAACAAGTTTTTGTCTCTTTAGTGGATAGGATGCAGCGTCTATGAACAATTTGATCGACCACAGGACTTTTAAAAAAATGTTTTTAAATTTTGAGTCCGTGTTAAAAGGGATAAGTCCACAAAAGATGGTTTCATTTCTGAATCTCACTCCTATATATATCTTTTTTCTTTTTTTCACAATTTTTAATTAAATAAAAATTAAATTACATGTCAAATCAATGTTTTTTTGCACTTCAGTTTCTTTGGAAACCTAGCTATGATAACGGGACACCCAGTTCATGTTGTTGTTGTTGTTGTTGTTGTTGTTTTTTAATAAAATGTAAGTACTGAACATAGTTTAGCTTAGATTATTAAATAAATCAGTTTTTACGTTTAATAAACATTTTATTTTCCCATAGTTCACTGTGCTTTTTTTTTAGGCTCACACGCCACTGCATATCATATATACCCAGTTTATTTCCCTCTGTGATTCGAGCCGGTTCTGACTCTGATTACGAGTCGTCTGCTTTGATCTGCTGCTGGGTCTAAAAATCCCTTCAAAAAGGCAAATCAAGGTCACACTTCTCCCTGCTGAGTGTTACAGTAGAAACACACTCGTCTGTGTTTTACCATCACTTTTAACTGTGACTAAATGCATCAATAAAGTTTTTGTGCATTTTTCCTTGGTCTGGTTTCTTTCAGAGAACCAGCTGGCCTGATAGCACCCCTTTATGAGATGATCAACATCCCCAAGATGCTCCATAGATGGAAAAAAAGCCAAAGACAGAAAAGTGTACACTTACAAGCCAGTGTGAGTTTCTGAGATATATGGGTCGTTTATTGCTGGACGTAGAAATTAAATTGATCTTCGTGTACCAAGACAACCTCACTACAACCTCTTCTTCACTTTCAGACTTAAAGAAAACCCAAAGTGTGCATGTGTCCAATCAGGCTGTGAAAACAGCAAACACTTTATTTTTCCAATAACTCAGATGGGTTTTTTGGTGTGGGGTTTTCAAGGTTGAATAAAAAAATTATATCTGGGAAGGAAATCTTTGCACCCTATCGGCCAAAACTTCATCAGCTGTTTCTATATTCTTTAATCCCAGTAGACGTTCGGAGGATATACTCCCCAGCACAGCTGATTATCTGGAGTCGAAGCTAGCGCCAGTTTATCGTCGTCACTCAGCTGCCGGTTTGAGGCTAAAGGAGCGACGGCGTGCCAAAGTGGGCACATGCTAAATATGTTAGGCTCAAAGGCTTTGTGGAGGTCGGGGTTCCCTTACCCTCGATGGGAGGTCACAGCATCTGTCTCGGCTGGTCCAGGCCAAGTTGCAGACAATGTCGAACATCTGGAGCTGGAACTGTGGAGAAGGAGGGGAGAAAAAAACAAAAACATGGATATGGCGTAGTGGTACATGTGTCTGTGATACACCCTCCACAGCTCCCAGAGGACATGCAGAAAAACAGCAGAGAATGAGGCACTGCCGAGTCCCATCAGCCCCGGGGAGAAAGGCTCGCATTACAACCCTGCTGATTGATTTACATGTGGCGCCGTGTAAAACTCATTTCACTGTCTGTTTGAATTATCTACAACCTCTCTGTATCCCCCCCCCCCAAAAAAAAGAAACAACAAAACTTTAAATTAATTACAAAATGTTCAAAATGCTGTGGATTGTGTTCAGTTCGCTCTCTGCTCAGAGTTTGTTCAGTATTCAAACTAAATGTACAGCAACGAATAAGAATACTGCTGACAGCAATGCTACCCCTCAGCCTCCTAGCAGACACACCTCAGGTATCAATTTCAAAATCCTACATCGTTATCAAATCCACAAGATTCTCAGAAAACTGAGATTCAAACGATTTTTGGTATCTGCACTGATTGTGTCAATTTGAAAATATACGTGGCTACCTGCTCCAGTTATCACATTCACAAACGTAGGGGTGATGACAATACCCCACCAGCCTTTTACAGCTAAGGTAAAAAGCTGCACTGTTTGTTTTGCGCTGATAAAGTCAGCAGCAGCTAACATTTTATAATTGTGCTACTTCATTTTTCTCCACCTCAGCTTTCACCTTGGTTCTTGATTTTTGTCTGTCATTCACCAAGATAACACAAATCTACCAGGCTGAATTTCATAGAACGTGTTGGTAGGGTGGTTGCCTCACAGCAATAAGGTCCTGAGTTCAATTCCGCAATCAGCCTGGGATCTTCCTGTGTGAAGTTTGCATGTTCTCCCCGTGTTTGCGTGGGTCCTCCGGCTTCCTCCCACAGTCCAAAGACTTGCACTTAGTGGGGATAGGTTAATTGGAAACTCTAAATTGCCCAAAGGTGTGAATGTGGGAGTGAATGTGAGTGCGAATGGTTGTGTTTGTCTATGTGTTAGCCCTGCAACAGACTGGCAACCTGTCCAGGGAGTAAACTGCCTCTCACCCTAAAACAGCTGGGATAGGCTCCAGCACCCCTCACAACCCTGAAAAGGATAAGCGGAAGCGAATGGATGGATGGTGTTGGGAGGGTTGGGTGTCGGAACTAGTAAATAAACCCCAGTTTTAAGTTTTAGTTTTGGCGGAAATTTTTTATTTGTTATTCAGTTTTTTTGCCAGTTTAGTGAGAATTCAACACTGTACAATGCGAACTTGTGAGACTGCTGAACAAAGCATCTTTAAACAGAGAGTTCAAACACAGACACAGACATCAGCATGATGGTGAATGTAGTGCTGTAGAGAACTGACACTTACGTGGAAGCCTCACTTCCTGTTTTTTGTAACTCTCCGAGGTAACAAGTCTTCTCGACAGCTAGTTCAGTTAGCCACGTATTGCTAAACTCTTCTGTCACCCAGTTTATAAGCTGTGCACCCTGATTGTTTAATATCTAACTGCTGGTAAATGATTTAGAGTGGAAGGCGTGCATCAACTGAAGAAACCTAACAAGGTGATTTTGCATGTGAAGTATGTGAGCAGTAAGGGAAAGCAGGCTGCAAACAAAGGCTGTTTTTTTTGTCTGATGGCGTGTTAGAAAAGTCTTACTGTATCACCCAACCCTACTTTAAAAGTAGGACCAGAAGATGCTAAAGATCAACAAACTCTTATTGGTTACCTGGATTATATAAAGAAACAGATGAAATCTGTGTCAATTTAATTTGCTTTGAAATTTTTGTACTATTTGCAGTCAAAGTAAAATAGAGATAAAATCATTTGTCGGTAGATAACGTCAGTCTCCTGTTTGTGTGAACGCAGAGTTCACTTACAGTTGACGATTCTCCTTTGGAGCCGATGGATTTGGACATCTTGCCCAGGACCTGGTAGCCATCGCTGGACATGTTTCCAGCGGCCTTGATCTGCTTCTCGGCCACTACCTGGCAGTCGATGTTGAGCTGGACGTTGGTGGGTGAAACCAGGATGTGCAGCTTCAGACAGAAAGAGAAAGGAAGGAGAGATTTTATTGGCGCATTCTTTGTTCTACGACCATGTGCCATGTCTGGTTTTCATTCTCGCAGCCTGCACATTATTAGGTTTTGCCGAGCCCATGGCGGAGGCTGTGGATGAACAGGCTCGATCATGCAGAAGTATACGAGCGCTCACATGGAGGGAAAACAGCACTTCCCCTCTGTCCATTCAGAAAGAGGGGTATCTCCATCATGTTCTAAAGACATCCCTGCAGTGCTTTGGATTTTGACCTTTTAAACTCTTTCTTGTTACTGCCCTGCAAATATGAGTATTTCACAAGGAAACATCCGTTTTTCATTTTCCTTGTCCTTACGGGATCATGTTTAAAGATGTCAAATAAAAGGAAATCCTCAACTTTTATAAATGCTGCTTCCATTTTCCTCGTGACATGCCAAGAATGAGAATGTGTTGAAACTCCCAAATAATAAACCAAATATTTACCACTTACATTTTAAACATCCCATGTGTTTATACTACAGGTTTACTTTGCACAGGAAGTCTATGGAACTTTTGGGTAAATGGTAACCATCTTAACCACCACCACCGTCCTATCTCATTTTAAATAGTTCCAACCTATTTACAACATTATTATTAAACTATTAAACTCTGTTATTAAACCTTTTTTACCGTGTCCTGACTCGAGGGCAGACGAGTCATCCTGCTAAACTGAGCAAACTGGAGGGCTCTTCGCTGACGCTGCACTCTGGTAGTCAGAGGCGACGTTAAAGCAAAAGCCTTCAATAATTACACCTAATCCACTTAATTACAAGCATCTACATAAAACTCAGCTGCTAATGAGCTCCTCAGCATTTGTTTAAGTGCAGCTGCATAGAATGTGTCTGAAAGATGAATGTCAGTCTGAGTTTTGTGCGGTTCTGGCCAACACCAGGGGAATAATGTGAAATCAAACCAAAAACCATTAGACCCAAGGTGTGAATGTGCCTTTAGGCACCGATGTTCTAACAGGTTTTTTTTTAAATTGTAAAACATTTATTGTTTCACTTCAACGCGACACCTAAATATTTCTGACATTCATGCTACATTTTCTTACTTTTTGAAGCTATTAAACAGATTATTTTGAATTAAATTAAACTATTGTGGGATAATTAATAACCACAAGGAAAACGGCTCTCTCAGCTTTCATCTGTCCAAACACTCCAAGCGTTTCATTCAGTAACTTTTTGCTTTTCTGATAAATACCCACCACTGGCATCATTATTTATACCAGTGTACTGTGAAGTCAGCAGGTTTGCAGAGTTAAAGTTGTTCACTGTAAGCCAGAGAATTTTTAAAGGTACGCATCGGTGTAGATGCAGGTCCAGAGACTTGTGAACAAATCGTTTTATCTGCTCAAAGATTCCTCCATCTAATTGAAATATTCCAGATTCAGCTGGAAATGCTCATCGAGAGGCCAAATCTACCCTGAATTCTTTCCTTCTATCTCACCGATGGACTTTGTACAACTCCAAACAGTAAAATAACTGTGGCAGCTTCGCCGTACACACAACACCACAATTTGCATTTCTCCTCAGTCACGTCACCCTCGCCGCATCATGTCGTCATTTTGTGGTGGAGCATCAGAGCCGCCTTTGCAGCGGCTTTTCATCGAAGCGAGTCGGGATGCATGGAGGGAAAACGTGACCTCTACAAAGCCACAGAGTGGCGGCGGCGAGGGCAGCTCGCTGCTTGTGGTCAGTCATGTTTAACAGAACGCAGAAGCACCGAGGTGTCCAAGAAACACTTCATGGAGGGAAACGCAGCGTTTATCTGCTTTTCATGAAGTCAGCAGGTACCATTAAAGCTTTCAGCATGTCAACGCTTTAACTGGACTCGCTCTTCTGTTAAATTTAAAGGATTTTAAAAGCCAGTAAGAGCACTGATATGATCACACTGAAGCTGCCAGTATTGAAACATGAACAGCTTTGTGCCAAAAGTGAGAGCATACAGTATTTCATTCTCTTCAGGCTGGAAAAATCCTCAGAGATTCAGAGGAAGGTCTGATACATGGTTCCTGTAAAACAAGAGCTGATGTATTGTCCTTGTGTGGATGCTGTTATGGTTAATATCAGCTATTACAGGAAGGAGACCTGCCAAAATAAAGGCGCTGCTGAAGACGGGACTTCATGATTGAAACTGAAACACGGTTCCATAAAGCTTTAATTCCATAAATAATTAACCCTGTACACGCCACTCTGCAGAAACATGCGAGTGTATTTTATGATGATGTGATCTATGAATGTTTTGTTCATCTTTCTAAACATTAAACGTGTGCAATCTTTGTTTGGAAAGCATCTATATCATTAGTTTTATGGGTTTCTTTGAAGAGATTTGTCTTCAGGAGGTGCAAAGAGTAACAGACAATCCAGCAACCTTCCTTATTCTTTACAAAATACTCAAAGTTTGGTAACAGCAGTAAATCGTAGCAACGACAAGTCATGAAACCAGAGTGTCTGACTAAACGCTCTTCTTCCCTCCTTTACTTACGATGAAAAATGGACCAATTACAGCTGCCAGTTTACAAGCTCCTCTGCCATTGTTGGAAAGCCCCTTAAACCATTCATACCAAAGTCTGGATGTAACGTTTGAGCTCCAGGCTGACGATGTTTACACGAGCAGAGATGAAAGCGTGTGCCGAGGCCATACACGCCCTCGCTCTGTTCATCTGACCTCAGGTCAGCAGGACAAGTTCCACATTTATGTGCCGTCGCTGGAGTTGAATTTATTTCGACAGCACGAGGCACACAGGGACACTGAAGCCTGTCCTTATAAGGCTTTGAACAGCTGGGAATGTGATCCCTGGTAGTAAAGGGGTGAGTTCAGGAGTGTCCCTATACAAATCACTTTACTAACAACATCCTCTGTGGATGTGCTCAGTAATGCTAGTACTCAACTTTAGTGGGACAAAGCAGAAAAAACTGCTTCTTCCATCAGTCTGTAAACATGCTCATTTCTGCTGTTTGCATCGAACATTTTAACATTAATGTCTGTAGGGACTGACTTAGTGTTGGAGCCTGCCTCAAGTGGCCATTAGAGGAACTGCAGTTTGAAGAACAACTCAGGTCCAGAAAGCTGAAAGCTGAGTTAATAAGCTGACTAATATTGGGCGAGTTAAAGCTGACATGTTGAAGTGAAGATGAAAAATAAGGCGCCATTCACTTCACGAACCTCAATAAAGTTCGGTGAGTACACAGTTTGATCATTTTTCTTCTCCAGTCTTCTTTTTCTGCCATCATCCTGCTCATGGATGGTCCTACGTTACTTTATCCCTTTCTTCTGGTCACGACTTCAGCCTCGAGAACAGTAAACTGACATTTCCCTCCTCTGCTAAGGCAACATTCACTTCTTTGGAAAGTAGAAATGAGGTTTGTGCACATGTGCAGAGTTTCAAGATAGTTGAGATTCATAAAAAAAAAAAAAAACATGTCAGGCATAGCATAAAGAATATTTATGCGCTTTCCTTCCCTGAATTCAGTTTTATCCATCTGGCTCCAGCTGTATAATCTCTGAGATGTTTCTATTAGTCAGAGCATCTTTATTTCCTGTCGCGTCTTCCTGTCAGAGCTACAGCTACTGGCTGGCCCGTTAATCGATTTCTCTGCAGTTACTTGGCGCTGATTGTTCGATGATGGCCTGTTTATTCGCTTATGCAAATGTTGTTTGGGCCCGTCGGGGGGCAGCGGTACTTTAAACCCTTAAGGTATCTGCAACAGAGCTGACGCTCTGATGGATCTCTGCTGTTAAACACATCTGAGGAAAGATTTCAGGGATGTTTCCAGTGCTGAGCAAGCTGGTTGGTGAAGCGCTCAGAGGGGAAAAGGATTAGTGGAGTCTAAGCGTGGTGATGTGGCCGACGTCTTTTACTGACAACAGCTCAGTAAATCTGGTTCAGCAACAGCTGCGCTCAGGCTAAAGCACAATTTTAAATCAACTCCTTTCTCTGACAAGCTTTTAAATCTTAAAGTTTCTTCAGTTCAGCTGGTTTTAATTGCTGCTGCTGGAGAGACCTAAAAGCCATTGTGTTGTCCATGTGTCCACCACGCAGTAGAGCACATAGCCCCGAGCTAAAATTGACCCCTGACCGCCTCAAAGAAGAAGAATTTCCCCTCAAGATCCAGTTCTGCATGTTTTAAGGGTTTTTATCACACTAAGCACATGTGGGACTCTGACTCGGTGAATCTGCATTTTAAAAGACAATATTTTTACGCCTTCTGTTAAAGAAAAGCTGACTTAAAAGTCCAGGATACAGTCCACATGTATCCCAGCACCAAAAAACATTTCAACAGAGGTTAAAGGTCACCATACAATCATGATAAAGTTGTGGCACACTCATTATCACCATTATCATGATCAACTGATTCATTATAATTAACTCTAATTCTAATTAAAGACTTTTTTGTCTTGGTTTGGGTAAATAGTGCAGTTCGATCACATGAACATCAGTAACCAATAGGAGTGCTCTCTCCATGCTCTCAGGCAGAACCGTGTCCGGTCGAGGCGCCTTCCCTTTTCCCCTTTTGTTTTCTTTGCCAGATCAAAGCCATGAACTCCTTCTGTTTCTGCTTCGTTTGTCAATTGTTTTTCTTCATGTAAATTTCCACCGAGCATGATGGGAAAATAAATCTCAAAAGGAAACTGACCGTAGCGTTGCAAGCAGTGGCCCTGCATGATCGCTGGCCTCTCCAAAAACCAAACTCTGACTCATCTTTAGATCTGAGATGGTGCCAGACTCCAGTCTTTCCAAACTGGCTCCAGTGTACTGCAGGCATGACAAGCATCCTGAAGTCAAGCTGTGTTTTCACCATGTCTGAGCTCCAATTACTGATCACACAAGAAAAGCTCAGCACTGGGATTGTGGTGATGGGAAACCTTTATATTTCATCAAAATTCTGAGACTTGCACCAATGACAGGGAAGGTAAAGACATCTCAACTTTGTGGCAAGTTGAAGACTCACCAAATACCATAAAGGATATTGCAATACAGAACTTGACAAATAGAAACTTAATTACTATACTAGCTTTGCCAACCACTTATTCTCCAATTCAGATATATATATATATATATATATATATATATAAACTAATCTATATCCTATTTATTCAGTTTTTACAACATGTTCTTTTTCAATGAACCCCAAGCCTTTTGCACAGCTCCCAGAATGTGAGCATCATCACAGGACGTCAACAGCCCTCAGCCTGAGTGTCAGGAGAAGTTGGCTAATGCTGTCATGGTCCTAAGTACGCTAAAGAGGCACTTAGAAACAAACCTTCCTTCTAAAAGAAACTTGACCTCCTGCAACTCTGAAACACAGTCAAACTGAGTAAAAGTATCTGATAATGCAAAGGACCCAGATTTCTAGTGCACTGTGCGGATGTGATGCTAATCCAAAGATGCTTCATCAGCGTTATCAAGATAAGAAAAGAGCAGACACCCTTTTTGCAGATACAAATAAAGTTTTGTCTTAAAATGTTTGGCTTTCTCTTCTGTGTGCTTTGGCTACAAAAAGCCTTTAAATGTGAAGATTCTGGAATAACTTGTCTGTCAGACTGTAAATCCAGCACACAAGCAAACCCATCTGCAGATGCAACTAATTATGATGCTCTGGGTTTTGCCTCAAATTTCAGGACACAGCTTCACATCTGCAGATCAGCCCTTTTTTGTGTTTTGCATTCATTTTTCATATTGCCTGATGAAGGCACTTTTCTTGAGTCCGTGCCACCCCATCCGTTAGCATATCACAGCTTTTTCACATCATCAGTTCACTTTCACACAACACGATGCCAAGGTTAACATTGTGAGATCCGCCTCTATCTGACAGGTGCTGGCGCTCTGGTCCGGCTGAAGCTAAGGGATGGGTAGCGTTTACAGTGTTTTCTGCTTCTTATTAGCTCGCATCAGTTAAATCCTTTGATACATTTCCCTCAGATAATCCCTGCCATCTAGCAAGTGCAAAAACAGCCTGGGTTTCCCTTCTTTTTTCCCTTGCATGCAAAGAGTTATTAATTTATAAATATACACTGTTTGCATATTACAGAAATAAAATGGGTCTGATACACTCCCACAGCTCTCCAAGCCACCATTTGGACACTCTGAAAGAAAAGAATCTACTTAAAAAAATTTAAAGCAGAAATCTGTGTGGTGAAATGGTGACCTCCTGAACTCCAAAATAGCCAGGTCACTATTTATTTTTTTTAAAAGTTTCCTGTTACAAGTTTCTGACCTTTGCATTCACATCTGTTAAATCATTAGGCTGGTTCCTGTGTGTGAGGGTGCAGATTTGGCATGAAATCTATAGAAGTCTGCTCCAAAACTGCAACTTTTTTCTTTTTTCTCTATGACAAAAAGAAAAAGGAGGAGAAAAAGGCATTTCTCAGTATTATCAGATGTAGTGAAGATCATCTACAGACTAAAATCAACCACACACTCCACTGTTAGTACAGTTCAGAGCGAGAGGCTTTAAAGCCTTCCTGCTGACACTCTTATCCCACCCTGGGAGGTAAAACCGCAGAGCTGCGGTCGGCTACCAGAAGAGGTAAAACTGAGCGCTGCCTCCTTAAACTCCTCCTGGTCCCGCCTCCCTGCTGGCACTCTTCAGCTGCACTGATGTAATTGTTTAATAGAAATAGCAGTGACCCAGTATTTTCCAGTCGAGCGTCCCAGCGGCGACTGCAGTGCGCTTTTAAAGATCTCCCCCTCTAAGAGGAGCTTATGGATGAAACTCATGAAACTTTAAGATATTGTTGAAAGGACTGTCCACACCGCTTCTCCCAGCAGTGCTTCCTGTAAATGTGTTGCTATCAGCACCATGGCTCAGACCTAATCTAGAGCATGAAACACAGTAGCTCTGAGTGGAAACTGTCTTTAAAGCCCAACGCCACACTAAGAAAATCTCTTACATCAGGTTCGAACTGCTGAAGTGTGATGCTGATGACAAATCTGTCTTCGTTGGTGGGCCTGAAAGTAAAAGGGTAAGCCGAGGCGCAGTAATCGGCTGAGAATCCAGGAGGACAAAAGCTGTCCAGCTCTCTCAGGCTCTGCCTCATCCTCATCACTGTCTGCACAATCCTTTCTTTGTATTGTTTAGTTTATGCTCTCAACAGTTGCAAAGCATATTTCATCTTATTATAATTCAGTCACTAACACGCATGTTGTGGCTTGGGAGTAAGGTCATGATGATGAGAGGAAAAATAAAGAGGCTTGTGCTGCATTCGGGTAAAGGTTTTTTGGGGGGGTTCTTTTGGCATCTTCTCCATGCCCTGCGTTTGCCCTATGTTTCATAACGTGAAGGTGGTGGTGTTTGCTTTAAATTTTCAGATGCGGTGCGTGTCTGTGTAAAGTTTGTTGGGAGCATGTGCTTTGTTCTGTGTTCTGTTTGTGATTTTAAACTCCTCCTCGTGTGCAAGTGTAGACATCCACTGATTAGGATGAGCCAGAAGGAAAAGAGAGCCAGACAATCCAGCCGGACTGGCTTTTGTCTTGCGGGATTCTCAGACCAGATGTGCCAGATCAGTCGATTACGTCATGATTATTCTGCGGGGAAAATTTGCAGATACAGATATATCTAAAAATGCTGTACATAAAAGGCATTGTCGTCACCACAGAAGGCTGAACCTCACGATATTAACAAATACAGCTGGTGGCATTTCTTATCAACTGTCTTATGGTTATAAAACAGTTATACACCAGTACAAAACTGACACTGATCAACCAAAAACCAACATTTTCTGAGCAGTGTTACAAAACACAGAGTGACTATGTCCCTATGGCCCTGAGATCAGAGGATTCATTGCTGAGTAGAAAAAGTAAAACATTTTTTCACCATTTCTTCAGGTGGTTCGTTTGCTAGTTAGAAACCCAACTATATTACATTTATTATCATGTATGTATTGTACATGTGCTGGCACATCAATCATCCGGTTACTGCATTTTTATTCTTTTCATCTACAACCTACATATTTAATCTACTCTCTCTTCTCTGATTGGCTGTCAAAGTTCATCTACACACAATCAAACACGCTCTCTCCTCCACCAGCACCGAGATTATTCCTTGGTTGTTGTTTGCAACGTTCTTTACAAGTTATTGGTTGAGCTAGGATTCACCCGCAGTCCTGTTATTTCAGTAATGAGTAAGTTCAGAAGCCCAAATCCAACAGCCTGCTGAGTGGTTGGATCCTCGATTGTCCAGGAAAGGAAGTCTGAGAAAGTTCTTTCTGTTTACACGTATGTAGCATTTTCAGTGGGAGAAAGATGACTTCTCCCATTTCATTGACTAACTGATGGACATTTTTCTGAGCCAGCACATTTTGTTAGCGTTTGAGGAGTTGTCTTTTTAATGTTTAGCTTGAGGCAAAAGGAGTGTGTGTAACTCAAATTGCAAAAAAACATCATCTCAAAGGTGAAAATAACAGTTACTTAAGAGCCACAGGAGAAGATCCTCATGAATGATCTCATTTGTTTTCAAAGGAGTTTTAAAGATTGAATAACAAACCATCCCACAAAGCTACATCATACCTCCACCTAATCAGACCTGCTCAGCTCATGTCAGGCTGTCTATTGATCATTTTATAACATCCAGGAGACGCAGATGGCGACCATGTTTGAAGTGCGTGTAATCGCAAGCAGTTGCTGCTCTGCGTTTTACAACCTGCAGAGGACCATCTGTTCATGTGAGCCAACATAACTCCTCAGGAACACGTCTGCAGTTTGCGTGTGAGGTGCTCTGGCTGTAATATACAGCATATTTGGAATCTCAGGCATGTGCGGGTTCTGTATGACCTCGAGACGTCCAGCGAGATCAAAGAGGAGCGCTTCGATTCATGTGTCAAGCCTCAGTCAAGCCACGGACCGAAAAAAGTTACATAACTCAAACATTAAAGACAAATTTGGCTTCATTCTCCTCAATTTCAATATGCAATATGTTAGAATTCACATGTGGACAGTCTCCACTGAAAGATTAATGACTTCTGCTTACCTTGTGGAAGCTTCCATGGAAGATCTTCTTCACTTCCCTCGTGTCAAATGTGACTCTCTGTAGCTCGCCGCTTTCGTCTTTGTTGTAGAATGAAACGGTCTGGCTGGATGCTGAGCAGGGACAGAAGAATAAATTACATTAGAATTAAGTTGTAGGAATACTCAGGTTCAGTCTCAAAAGAAATCTGCTCTTGAGCTTTTCAACTGGACTCATCGAAAAACAGTCATTCACACTCACGTTCATTTCTATACAAATGACACCCCATTTTATGTATCTATGAAAACAGATGACACATCACTACAGGCATGTCTTAAAGACATAAAGACTTGGATGACCTGTAATTTTCCACTTTTAAACTCAGACAAAACTGAACTTTTTTTTGTGTTTATCCCAAAAATCTGTCTGTCTAACCAGATATTTTATCTCAGTTGCCACCACTCAAATCTCTGAAGCACGTCTAATCAGATACATTACTGATAGCTTCCAGTTCCACTTCTTTTTGACCAGGATGTGTAATTCAACTCTCATCTTGATCAGATCTCTTGGATTTGATCTTGGCCGACATTTTTTCATCTGTGTAATATTGCCAAAATTAGAAACATCCTCTCTCAGACTGATGCTGCAAAACTATTCCTTGTATGCACTTCTAGGCTGGACTGCTATAATTCCTTATCATCTAGATGTGCTGCTTTCAGCCCATTGGGAGCACCAGGGAATTCCTGCAGTCCTAAGAATTTTCGCCTGCCATGAATTTTAGAAGCAACATTATAAAAGTTAGAATGAATGTAGATGGACCACTCAGTCATCATATCTGTCACAATCTCCTACAGGCGATATATTAATGATACAAAAAAAACACTGATCCTGTCTGAAATGCTGTAGCTTATTTTTAACTTTGGTGTGTGTGTCAGTTATTTCAAAGACTTGATTTACGCTCTAGTGTAAGCCAGTTGTTTTGACGAGTACAACTCTGTGTGTTAGTATGTGCTATTATGAGTTTTTAAGGGTGTAGCCTTAGCAGACCTTGAAAAGTTGGGGGCAGAATGGCTCCTGGCTCTGCTGTTTCAGTTCACCCATTATTTAACCTGAAATATGTGCTAACCTCTTCATATTTTTTTTATTATTATGATGGATTAGGTTTAACGAAGCCAGATAAGGAAATATATCCTAGATATGTTGAACTTGCTGTTTTAGTACAGGGCAGTTAAAGTGAATATAGTCTGTTTCTTACAGAGTTAGCACAGCTTCATTAGTGACAAAATACTTTACCTGAACCTGCCAAACACAACGACTGACACGACTTTCATATGTTTGAGTTTCTGTGGAGCTGTCAAGAGAAAGTTCTCTCAGCACAAACATTGGAAACAGGAAGACCAACTTTCGTTTTGTTGGTGCTTTGTTGTGCAACTTTGTGCCAGAAGGTTTCTCTCATGATGTCAAACCTTTAATCATGCACAGTTATAATTCATTGTAATAACTCAAGAATACAAATGTTTGTCACTGGTGGATTTTTGTTGAAATCCTGCTGACAGACAGAAACACAGGCTTTACGAGAGCCAGCTGAGCTGCTCGATGACACAACAGTTGTGTGGCGAAGGGAGTCTGCGATCAGCTCAGACCGAAGCAGCCAGAGGGCACGGCCAGCTCATTACATTACAAACTCTTCTCTGTCAGCGATCAGATACGACGCAGTGAGGCACAGCTGCTCCACATCACACATTTCCTTGCTGCTTTTCTCTGTTTTCACACAGACAGCACAGGATAAGAATAGAGTGCGATACTTACGGTCAAGGGTGACGCCGGTCTCTGGTTTGTGATCTTTGCTCGACACCTGCCAGATGTCGAAGGCCTCCTTGGGCGTGTCGGGCAGGAGGCGGAACATCATAATGATGGTGTAGGCGTGGGGAAGACCAAGAGGGTGGATGTCTCTGAAAAAGGAAGAAAAAAACATAACAGCGCGTCCGGACAGAGCGAGGACAGGTTAAACACAGCTTAAACCTTAAACAGAAGTCTGGCCTTGGGCTCAAGGATATATAGAACAGCTTCACAGAGGCTGGAAAGTAACACGCTAGATTACATGATTTTAAACACAAGGATTGTTTTTAATACTTTGCAGTCAGTGACTGCCTGAGGTATAAAACCCATGAACATCAGAAAATGCTGCGTTTCCTCCCTCAAGATTCACGCCCAGGCCTTTACTGCATCTGCCTTCAGTTGCTGCTTGTTTGTGGGTCTCTCTGCATTCAATTTTGTCTTCAGTAACCAAAAGCTGCTCTATTAGGTTGCGATCAGGTTACTTATTTTTCCAGTTATTTTGGAGCCTATTTTAGAGTAAAACCTACTGAATAAAAACAATCTGTATTTCAATCACATCTTTGTTCTTAGATTAAACATCCACTAACACAAACAATGTGCTATTTCCAAGTAATGATAGACACAACTGTAAAAATAACATGTTGTCTGTTAGCAGTGATTTTAATAATTTTCCATCCACTGGCTCTTCTTCCTCTCCTTTTCACATCGCTGCAGGATGTTTCTCATTTGTCCCTGTGATGTCACTACACATTTTGTTAAGCCAGTTTTGGTAAACAGTCAAAACCCAAGCTGTTTTCCATCTCGCTGCTGTTGCATGTGATATTCTAGGTATGGGACGCCAGTGCTGGGTGGTGGCCAGTTTTAACAGCCTAGTTTGCGGTTGCGTCTGCACTCAGTGGCCTGATGGAAGCTCACAGTGTGAAACAGCTACAGAAAGAACTAAAAAGCCGTTTTATGGGCAGTCTGTTCTCCGTCATGACCTGCAGCTCAGTCTGACCCCACAGCTGGGCTCAAACAGTTTGAATGCAGCTGGTTACTTTCGTCCCGTTGGAGACGAGAACAACATGGAAGCATTCGAAAGACAGCAAATCTGGAGAAACTCTGGGAAGCTCCAGCAGAAACTGGTAACTCAATCAGGCCATGTCACAGAAAACCTCGGAAACTTGCATTTTTGAAAGAAAAGATTCAGTTTAAGATGCACATTAAAAACTCAAACACACATTCTGACCAGTCAGCACTGGTATGAACACTCTGCTGATCCCAGCACTGCACAGACAAAGCCGTAGACTATGAAGGAAGTTCAATACACTAGTTTCACAAAACCTCAAACTTCAGTCAGATATAACAAGTATTCTGATGGTTGTTATCAGCTTCCTTGTTAAGCTGGGCTTTCTACTTCAGGCTCCAGGTGTGTCTTCACAATCCGAGTGATCCGGGTGTCACTGAGGCAGTCCCAAGCCATCCAAGAGGTACAGTATAATCTCTCCAGCGTATCCTGGGTCTGCCCCAGGGCCTTTTTCTGGTGGGATAGGTTTGAAATCCCTAACCTAGGAGGCACCAGTATCAACAGGTAAATGGACAGCTTTGCTTTGCACTCAGCTCTCCCTCTCCACCACAATACATTGATTAACACATCAACACAGACGCTGCTTCAGTCCGTCTGTCAACCTCCCAACCCACTCTGCTGTCACTCATCAACAAGACCCCAAGATATTTAAACAACTACTCATCCCTGACCTAGAGTGGGAACTCCATCTTCAGAGGTGCGGATTTTCATCCCAGCTGCTTCACACTTGGCTGCAAACCACCCTATTTCATCACCTAATGAGGCCAAAAGTACAACATCATCTGTGAAGACCAGAGTCCAGATTCCGATGAAAGCGGAAACCTTCTGCCATCTGTCTTTTTTTTGTGACAAAGAGCAGGGCTGGCAGAGACCAACTCTAACTGGGAACGGGTCTGACTTATTACCAGCAAAGCGAGCTAAGCTCTCACTACAGTTGTACACGGACAAATGGCTCATAGCCATAGGTCGGTCACCCCATACTCCCGAAGTGCACACCACAGGATGCCCTGACAGATGCGGTCGAATGCCTTCTCCAAGTCCACAAAACACATGCAGACTAGTTGGGCAAACTCCCACACACTCTCACACAATTTTGAGAAGAGAGAAAGCTGGTCCCACATTTCACAACCAGGACGAAAACCATTGATCCTCCTGAATCTGAGGTTTAACTAACAGGCTGACTGTCCTCTCCAGCATCGTGGTATAGACCTCAAAGGCTATACCATGGTGCTTTCAAAGTCTATGAAATAGAGCTTGAGTGACAAAACCTTAAGAGGTTTTAGACTGTAAAGAGCAAAGGTAAATGAGGAGTAATGTGAAACATATGGGCACATATAAGCCTGTGACCCGTGAGACTCACGTAGTAGGCTGAGTCAGGAAGGCGTTCTTATGAAGTCTGTATGCTGTGTAGCTGTTGAAGGAGCCGGGTTCCATGGAGACGCCTTTGATGTAACTGTAGGTCTTCTCCGTCAGGTTGAATGCCTCCAGCATCCTGAAGCCTGAAACAATCAATCAGGAGCTTGCCTTTAACTGCAAGATCATCCAGACGAACAGTGAATAAGTCATGAATTTCTCTAAAGTTTGTATTTACCAGGTGAAGTAAATCCATTCACAAAAATTAAGGGGCACGCTGTGGACAAAAACACACAGAAATTAATTAACTGAAACACATGTTAAAGCAATGTTTGTCTTTTTTGTTCTAAACTAACAGGAAGTTGCAGTTTCGCAGATGAAGGTGATCAGGTTTTCTTTGATGGTGTTGAAAGCGTCAAAGTCGTCCACAACAAAAACGTGTCTCTCGCTGGGTTTGCTGCCAATCTGCTGCAGCTCAATGAAATCCACGTCAGCGACACCGATGGCAAAGACGCTGTAACCTGAGGACGTCACAAACCAAGGCAGTCAGAACACAAACAGACTCTTGGCTTATCGGCTTCATTTATTCTTCCAGTAAGAGTCTAAACAGGTAATAATATCCAAAAATGGATACAAAATATTACTGAAAATTCTATCCAGCGCGGTTTCATTAATTCTGATGAGAACCAGCTGCTTCTGTTTGGTCTGTAAACAGTCTGTTTACAGCTGTTTGTAACAGAGCTCATCTGGGACACACTCGCATGGAGATACACGTTTGTGTGACATCTACCTGCGTGTTGGAGCCTGGCGGCGTTCTTCTTCACCTCATCCTGAGAGCGTCCATCAGTGATGGCTACCACCACCTTGGGGACATTTCTCCTCATCCCGTTTTCAAGAGAGAAGGCCTTCTCATAAGTGTGTTTCAGCGCCTCTCCTGCTCAGAGGAAAACTGTGTCAGATCAGCAGATGCTTGTTTGGATCTGTACCTGTGGCCTGTAGCATGAGATCAAACCTGTTTTGGTGTTTCCTCCTCGGTAACGAATGTAAGAAGGCGCGGCCATGGCGAGGCCTTTGTCCTTGTAAGCTTTCAGCTTGAACTCGGTCTTAGCGTTGTCGCTGTACTGCACAAATGACACCTGGGTGGAAAATAATGAGAAAATTAGGGACTTATCATCCTCTCTGTCACATCAACCCTCCTTCACTGCATCCATGAACTTCCTCGGTGGTGTTCCACATTAAACTTCCTGTGGCCAGTACATCCATTATCCCCTCTCTGCAAACGTTCAAATATCTCAACTTCGTCTCTTTGACTTGCTGGTTCAATAAAGTTTAACAGGCACATTTCCTTCCTGTGAAGCAACTGTGTAACCCTCTGAGCTACTATTGCTCCTTTTAACAATATGATCTGTGATATTTTCTTGTTACTCGACATTTCTCAATACAGTAGTAGTCTTATACATATTTGCAAAAATGTCATGTAGGAAAATAATGAAATTGATTTGCAGGGGTTTGTTTTCTTGTTTAGGTTTGATTAAAAGTCTAAATGTATAGCCTTGGTCAGCACAGCAGTGCCATCGCTCACAGTAAGAAGGTCTTGGGTTCAAATCCAGCAGATGTCCTTCCCATGCCTGTGTGGGTTCTCTTCGGGTACTCCACAGTACACGAACATGAATGTTAGGTTAACATGTGATTCTACATTGATAGCTGGTGTGAACGTGATTGTGAATAGTTGTGTGTCTCTGTGTTAACCCTGTGACGGTCTCCTAATCTGTCCAGGGTATACGCTCGGCCTCTCACCCTTTGACAGCTGGGGTAGGCTCTGGCTCCAGATAAGCAGAGATGGATGGATGGGTGGAATCTATGGCATCTATGGCAACTATACATCACTGCACAATCTACAGCATGGGTGGGGAACTCCAGGCCTCACGGGCCGAGTCCTGCAGGTTTAAGATATCACCCTGGATCAACACACCTAAATTAAATGACTAGTTCATTACCAAGTCGCTGGAGAACTTCAAGGCATGTTGAGGAGGTAACATAGCCATTTGAATCAGCTGTGTTGGATCAAGGACACATCTAAAACCTGCAGGACACCGGCCCTTGAGGCCTGGAGATTCCCCCACCCCTGATCTACAGGATAGCCTAGTGTGCACTTACCCCCAAAAAGTGGTCAAAGTGCAAAGACTGAGTTTGGTCTGACTGGGAGTGACATGAATTATAAACTTCATGGGCTGAAACTGTGCATCTAGCTTGCTCACAGTGCTAAAGCAATGAGAAGTATTGGTCCAATGTCGATGTGTCATTTGTGTCGACTTGATTTTGAAGTCTTTCCTGTCTCACTAAAAGTAACTGTTCAACACTTATGAGCTACAAGATCGACCCGATCAGCCGACTTTCACTCGTGATGGGAGAGCAATGCAGACACTTCAGCGCATGAGTGTCAGTGTAAACAGCATTACGCAGCACAGCAACGGGGGAATAAGGACTTTCAAACAAGCTTAAGATGGCACTTTATGTATAAAAACATTGAATAACTTGACTCAGAGAACACATCCAGTTAAGGGGGTCATTTTGAAATTCCTACAGAAAGCTGTCCAGCATTTAACGGGTTCCTCTTGTTTCACTTCCCCACAAACTTTTATGAAATCTCATTTTTGCATAATCTTGTTGACAGACAAAGAAATGACTCAAGAAATTAAAAAGTAAATGGGCCAGTGAGGGGAAAAAACTGGCCTTCCAACAAAATTATTTGGCCACCAGACATTGGCTGGAGTTTGACTTTGTTGTTCAGATAAGAACTCGCACATGCTTTTTTTCCCCCTCCCACAAATGCATCGCAGACAGACATTTGGCTACAGCATCATTATACAACACAGAACATACATGTTTCTAATATCCGCTTGCTTCTCTAAAGAAAATAAGCACATGCACTGCTGTCTCCCCTCGCACACAGTCATACACTGACCAATTCTATACATCTACCAGTATTTAAATCAGTGGAGCAGCTTACAAATCAGTCTTCTCTCATAACCATCTTTTATGGATTAAGAAACTAGTATTTTTGGTAATTTGGCAATGAAAATCCGCTTTATTGTGCAGCAAACAAAATGTTTTCTCATCCAGATGGACAAAGTAGTCTTTGAGGACTGTCAGAAGAAACTGCCTTAAGGGATGCCAAACAAGCTAATAATATAAACCTAATGGATTTAGTTTTTTAGTGAAACAGATGCTTGGCTCTGTGGCTAAAATATAATACAAATAGAAGCAAAAGAATCCCAACGAATACTATCTTAGACTCAAGGATTGTTCATTTTATCCTGATTGGGGATATGAGCCATTATAGCATCCCGGGATGATTTTAAAGAAGACGAGGTTTGTGTCAATGTGAAATAATTAAGACAGCTACAGAGGTTTTGGACCACATCGGGCTTTTGATCATATTTTTATACGATGCTGTCACACTTGTCAGCATGAATGCACCTTTAAATCCAGAGATCCCTCTCTCTGGAACAGGCTTATATATAATCACCGATTCTTTAAATGCCTGCAAAACTCGGTCGGAAAAAATTCTGCATCGCCAAGAAAGCTTTTATAGCCTTTATTTCATTTGCATCTCCCTCCTTCTTTTTGTTTTGTCTTGTTGTCGGCTGTTAGTGATTACACTTGATTGAATTCTCGTATTAGGGCGGATGTTTTATAAGACCCCTGGCCTCCTGTTGAGGTGAAGTTCTTTTATCATGAGGTTTCCATTGTGAAAATAAAAACAAAACCACCACTGGATGATGCTGGGGTACGGAAGTGTAATGAATTCACTCGAGAGAAAAAAAAAGGTTTCTGAATTAATGTCAAAGGAGCTTGCAAAGAAAAGCGTCTGGACTTCTTTAAGTTACTCTTTCTGAATTAATGAGACATCTTAAAATCCACAAAGAGCCTCTCATTCACTGCAGAGCTCAGCTTCATTCACGGCATTGCCTCTCCAGCTCAGTTTAAGCCATGTTTATTTGGGTCTGGGTTTTAAGCACTCTCACATACTTGCTTGTTCAGCTGCTACTCAGTACATATGAGAACGTCTGGCAGGATTTTGGGGGATTTCATTAATTCAGACAAACAGAAAAGGTGAAATTTTATTGAATGAATTATTTTCTTGGAATCAGATCAGAAAAATAAGCAAATTTCTTTTTTATTTTATGAAAAGTTTTTGAGTGTCTCCTCAAAATGATCTTAACTTAAAGACTTTTTAGCATCACCATCTCCATGAGACATGCTAATTTACATCCCTATGTAGCTAAGACACCTTCATGCACTGCTAGTTAGATGCAAACTGCATTTCATTGGCTTGGTACATGTTCTCTGTGTTCTCTGGTTCCAAGAGTATTTAAAAGTAGAATAGGAGGCAGAGCCTTTAGCTTTCAGGCCCCTCTTCTGTTGAACCAGCTCCCAGTTTGGATTCAGGAGACAGACACTATCTCTACTTTTAAAATTAGGCTTCAAACTTTCCTTTTTGCAAAAGCATATAGTTAGGGCTGGATCATGTGACTCTGAATCCTCCCTTAGCCATGCTGCTACAAGTGCGGGGGGGACTTCCTGTGACACACTGAGCATTTCTTTTTTACTCCTCGTCTCTCTATTTTCTCCTTTTCTGCCTTTTCACCCCTCAACTGTCAACCACTCGGAGTAGATGGCTGCTCTGACTACTGCAAATGGTGCAGTAGTGGTTGATGTGAGGGAGCTACCTGAGTGGAGGTGCAGTAGGTAGAGCATGTTATAGCCCGCATTGGCCTTGCATGGCCCATTTGACTTCACAAAGATTTTGCACTTTTTATTGCAGGGTCTCACTATAAAAATCACTGTGAGGTAACTGTTGTATAAATAACACAGAACTGCACCGGATGCACTACTCCTCCCTGTCAGAGGGAATAACTGTCAGTGTTTTCAGCACAAACCTGCATCCCTGAGGGTCCGATGACATCAAAAGCGGCAATCATGTCGGAGACAAAGTGCACCACCTTGGTGAAGCTCTCCTCGCCGATACTCCACGAGCCGTCGATAAGGAACACCACATCTGCTTTGGCGCCTTTGCAGACTGAGGCAAAAAAAAAAAAAGAGTCAGTGAGTCCACAGGCCAGTTGTTGCATCATAACATGGCATAATTAGCAAGCTGGAGCACATTAAAAAAGTCAGCTGACAGTGTGCAACAAAACAAAACGCCTGAGACAAATGCCGTGATAGAACCATTCGCGATAATTATGGGTTCCACTGATAAAAAAAAAAACAGGCAAAATAAAACCGGGAACATTTGGTCTGCATAAGGACCAAGCTCTCCCTAATGCGTTCCTCTCACATGAAAACGAATTGGGCGAAAAGCTTTAAATAATCTTGGCCTCGTGTGATGCACCCCTCTTTATCTTCTCCGCCTGCTCTGAGCTCTATAAACAACTTTCACACAGCACCAAATGACACAAACAAATTCTCTGGACTGCACTCGCTTTCTTTTTCAACACCTGAGCTGTTGGTTCTTAACGGGCGCGCTCCCCCGCGGGGCCCACATGTGGTGGCCATTAATCCACCGCTAGTCCGAGCTGGATCCAGGAGGACTCTGCGTTCACAAAGTCACCGTCGAGGATTTTCCAAACACGGCCGAGCTTGAATGAAAGGACTTGATCTGTTCAGTCCTGTGAGAGTTTCTTGGGGAAATATTGGGAGATGATTCACAAAGAATTGGCCCAGTGAGAAGCCAACAGATGGAAGCCTTATTAACCCAAGCTGAACTCTCATTTTGTAACTTTTGCTGTCAAAATTCATTATTATTTGTATTTTTTATATTGTTTTATTAGGAAAAAAAAGGCAAAGACTCTGGAGACAGATTCCAAAATGCACCTTTAGTCTCCAAACATCTGAGATTGCAAAGCAGCGCGCAGGCCTAATGAAACAGCAGAGTCAGCAGAAGCAGTGAGACTGGGGGAAAACAGGATTTACTAGAAACGTTTGACATGTAAAGCAACAGTTAACAGCTGCTGGTGTTTGCTAAGACAGTCACTGAAAAAAAGCTGCTTCTTCTGAGCATGCCCAGTTGAAAGGAGACCCAAAAACAGGCTGGAGAGACATCCCATCTACCTGGAACACCAAGAAGCTAAAAGGGTGTGCTGAAACTGAAGTTCCACTAATGGCCACTTGAGGTAGACTACAAAAGTCCTTAGAGCAAAGCAGAAAAAAAACCACGTACACAACCTGAAAAATTTCGACCTCTATGATGTCTGTATGCATGGTGAGTTTTTATAAAGATTTTGTCTTTCGGTACCAGACTAAAAAAAAAAAAATCACTCTCATCAACCAAAACACAAGAATGCATTTCAGATTCAGCTCGCCTTCAGTTGGATTATGGATGTCATTAGAGGCTTACCTGCCCATCCAGGGGGAATGGTGGGTGGAGCTGTTGGAGTAGGCGGGGTTGTTGGGTCTGGAGTTGGCTCCTGCACTGTGAGAGACAAAACAAAACAAAACAAAAAACCAAAAAGAACTGTTATCAACATATTTGTAATAAATACAGAATCGGCGTAAACACGGCGCGTGATGAAGTCATTGTTTTGGAGCCGCACTGCGAGATGATGCAATTTGCAGTTGGAATCGTGCTTCATGTCTCAGACAGCACGACTGCACTGTGAGCGGGCGTGTCGGAGCCACGCAGCTGTTACTACGATCGTGTTCTCTGTGGAAAGGTGAGCCGATCCACTCAGGACGTGTTTTTATGTGTTTTTCCGATGCAGATGCTGTTGGTTTGTACTAAGGATACATGAAGGACAGATTAATGCGAATTTAAACTCATTTTGAGTTAAAACATCAATATAAAAAACTTGAGGCAGCTGAAGTGGACAATGTCACTCGCAGGACATTTGGACCACAAAGTATTTTATCACTATTTAAAGAACTGATGAAATTATATTTCCAGAACAAAAACCCTGATGCTTTAATTTAATTATTAAAGTGCAGGAAGTTATTCTTGTTTGTCGCGCTGCTCAAATTGACCCAAATTCAGGATGCGGTCTCATTCAATGAAAGAAAGGCAATTTAAAAAAATCAAGGCTTCAGATGTTCTGCCTGATTAAACTACACCTGTTTTCCGGCCCGAGACCACGCTGTCTTGAAGTTTATATATTTTGATTTTAAATTTGACTCGTTATCTCCAGTACATTGTTGTTCTCTTCTTTATGTTTGTTTCATGTGTTGTGTGTATGTGTGTGTTTGTGTATTCATATCTTTCTGGGGACCAATATCCTGGTCCCCACAAGTTTCAAGGCATTTTTGAGACTCAAAATGTGAATTTAGTGACAGGGTTACAATTCGGTTGTAGTTAGGTTTAGGCATTCATTTTTCATGGCCAGGGTAAGGGGCTAGGTAAGCATTATGTCAAGTAGATGTCCCCACAAGATATAAATACCCGACCTCTCTTTTGATGGTTGTGCTCCTGCCACTGGTTTGATTCTCTGAATAAAATACTGCACTTTACGTTTTCACAGCAGTGAACCAGACCAGTCACATTTCAAACACACTCTAGTTTTTGTGCATTTATTAAGGGCAGAATTCTCTAGATTTTCTAGAGTTTTCCTCCTCACTGCAGAACTTTCTTAGTACTTACAGGTCCTCGCTTTGGTGCTGACTCCTGGGCCTTCCAGATTTGGCGTCTGAACGAAGACAGTGGCGGTGTACAGAGCATCGGGGGAGAGTCCGTCAAAGCAGTACTGAGGCAGGCCGGCGGGAATGGTGATTTCATGCTGTCCTTTACTGGATGCTACAGAGGAATCAAAAACTCATGTAAACACATCACAGTACAGTGGAGTAGTCTTAAATTAAATGATGGACTTTTCTGAACATGCTCAAAAACTCCATCGAGGTTTAATAAGGTTCGACCTCCCGATCGGCTCATTTAGAGTTTATTTCCAGGTGCTGTGGGCTCAGTGTGACTGATTCCTGTCAGAGGGAAACACTGACTCATGTTCTTCAGTCACAAGTTTTTTCGAGATGGCTGAATAGTCATGCACTTGTAAAACACACCAGTGACTTTTACACAGTTTGGACCCTGAATCATGTTGAAATTTTCCTGTGAAGAAAACTAAGATTTTTACTCACTTCATACATCTCCTGAGTATGACAGCATTAATAATTATTACTAATGAGTCAAAGATTACTTCCCCAGGTGCTTATGTTTCTGGCTTGTAAATTAACACCAAAGCCTGCTGGATTGTGACGTTGGCACTCTCTGTGTCCGTTTCAGCCTCATGAGGGACAAAGGAGGTTTATTCTGCAGCATTTTCATGGTTCTAGTTCCATTTCAAACCATCTGTGTTTGTATTTGAAATCAATTCCATGTTAAAGACAGTCTGGTCCAATCACTTCACCAACACTTACAAATTAATATCCCTGTACATTTTAGTATACATGTTGGGTAGTCTACCACTTCTAATATTGCACCTCTTGTCCACTGACAGCTGGGATGGGCTCCAGCTAAGACCTTAAGACAGTGGGTGAGCATGTTCTCTGCTTATGCACACAAGCAGTGAGCCTCAGAGGACTGCAGAAAGTTTCCAAAAGAGGAAAAGTTTCTTTGAGCACGTCTTAAACTACCTGAAAGCCCTTGCAGGATTTATGACCTCACAGTCACTGACCAACCACACTTCATGACTGTTGTCTGTAGTTTAGTGGACTTTTTGTTGCTAAACAAAGAAAATAAAGATTACTTTACACACAGAGCACCCTGACCCTTCCAGTGAAATGTTTATCTCTCCGCTTGTCTCGGCTGCTGACAAATTGATAATAAGATTTTGTATTTACTCTCAGCGCTTCTACGAGAGCAAACAAACAAAACGTGTTTATCGCACGGGCGTTTTGCTGTCCCGAATGCACTTCAAGTAAGTCAGATTCAACGCTCCCCGCAGCTCCGCTGCTGCAGATATCTTCAGAATATGCCCAGTAACATCAACAAGTTGTGATCGATCATGTAAATTATTTTGTGAAAACACGCACACCTCTCAGAGAGGTCGACTCCAGAACGGTGGCCCTCTTTCATCAGGAGCAAAGATGCACTCAGGTCCGAGCTGAGAGTGCATTAGCAAAATAAAAGCCCTCAGACTTTTCAGCAGGATATCAGATAGCCTAGAGTCTGAACCACATGTTCCTCTTCTCACCACAGATGTTAAAACATGGAGGCAGAAGACCCGTGCTCACCGTTTTTCCACCCACTCATCTTACCGCTGGCTCCGACCGCTGTTTGCATTTCCACTTGAGAACAAACAGTCGAATGATTTGTTGACTTGAGCGTCTGCTGCGTCTCACTGGGACGGCTCCTATGGTAGCGGTTAACCACCATCTGCCTCACGCTAACGGACCCGTGTTTGTTCTGGAAGCTCAAACGTCTAATGACTACCATAAAGATATTTAAACACGGATGCTCTATCTCCACGTGCGAGTATGAACCAGATGGACCTCGGACACTCCAAAGTCATTGAAAAGGATGTAATCTTTGCAAACAGAGATGAAGTTAAAGCTTGGTGGTCGGGCGCCTTCAGTCTCGGCCAAAACGTGCATCTTTTTTGATCAATATCCGAAAATAGGCAGCCTGACCTTAAACAGCCTCAGGGAGGAAATTACAAGAAAACATTTGAGTCAAAACAGTCTCTGCAGCATCTGCAGAGATGATCTCATCTGCAGATATATTTTCAGACATCTGATGGGAGTCTCATTGCACACTTTACCACACGCATCAATTTAAATATGTCACTCTGAATCAGGATCACTGGCAGATAGAGCCACACCACAAGATTAATGCATCTGCAGAGAAATGAAATATCAGAAACTTCTGATGAAAATCACTGCAGGTTCTCTTCCGTGATCTATCCGAGGACATGTTACACAACCATGTGGTTTTGGATCATTTAGAGACTTACATAGAAATGGTCTAAGTGCTATTATTATTACATTACTATTATTACACACAAAAGCTGATTATGATATTTAAAAAGTGATGTGAGGTGACTTACGGTCCGCTGGGTTGAGTTTAATGCGGTAAGACGTGGCCGCTCTGTGTGGCGTCCACTTGATGCAGAACTTGTCGTGGCCGATGGCGTAGGTCTCAATGTTGGTTACGTTCAGGTAGACTGAAAAATAAAATCAGAGTTTAAGCACAGTGGAGGTTTAGGCTGTTCATATGTCGGACGATTCATGTTTTTTTAAGCTCTTTTAACAACTGATGAAAAATAGAGATTCTCTACGAGACAGGAACTGTTTAGCTAAACAAAACAAAACAAAAACAAACAAACAAAAAATACATCTGATAATCTGTTAGCTGCACTGCCTGATGGAACCAGGTGAGTAACTGTAGGTAGCGAGAAACTTGACTGGTATTTCACTTCATGAGCCCATTTCTATTCAGGGCTCCTGGTGTAGCTGTTTTGTTCCACACCTGAGAGTAATTACTGTCTCCGGCCCAAACAAATCATGCCAACTTAAAACAAAAAACAAAAAGAAAAAACACCTGAGGCCAATATAACCAGAGTAAATAGTAAACAGGTGTGAACATGCCTTTAAGTCCAAATCTCAGTCAGCCAGAAACAAATCTGAGCAACTGAAAAGACATCAGATAAATCCTGGGATTCTCTCTGGTCTTAAGTTAAAGTGTCAGAAGTGACTGGACGTGAAAAATCAGGAAGGGTTAACGAGAGGACGCCAAGGTCCAGTGAGTTTTTTAAGGAACAATTATGAGTGACATTTAAAATAAATAAACAGTTTGTGCGTCTAATTACACTTCCTGTACGTACGTGTCGTCCCCTGGCCAATGAGTGGCGCGCTCACGCCGCTGGTGTACTGTGCCAGCACTTTGACGTCGTAGGTGGTTCCAGGCTGCAGGTTGGTCAGAGTGTAAGAGCTCACGTCTCCAACAAAGAAGTCGATGGGCTGGTTCATGCCTGGAAACACAGAGCGGAGAATGAGAAGTGAGTGAGAAACTGAAGAGAAGTAAAAATCAGGTGACAGCTTTTAGGAACCAAGACATTATTCACAATGTGTGTGCAGAGAAACATGCTTGATTAACCGCAATGGTTTTGTTAAGGCTCACCTGCAGGGGTGTAGATCAGCCGGTATCCCTGGATGGGTGCAGACACCGGGTCCCAGGCCACCCTGAAGCGCGTGTACCACTCGTCCGAGATCCGAAGGTTTCTGGGACTCAACATGCCGACTTTGACACAGAGGAGGCATCGAATTTTAGACATGGTAAGCATCAACATGCAGGGCTAAAACATGATGCTAATGTGCAAGTACCAAAAAACTGCAGTTCCTCTATTGGCCACTTAGACTGGCTGCAAAAGTGACTCAGCCAGCTTAAACTCTCCAACTTTCCTGATGAGCCTTGAATCGCAAGTTTCAAGTCATATTTAATAAAACTTAAAGCTAATTTAGTAAATTATGGCCCCATAAAGTCAGAAAGGAGGTTTATTGTTTGGGTGGAGAGGGGAGAGCAGCAGGAGAATTTCTGGCTTTTTTAACTAAATCCACTGCAGCTTCATGTGCAACAAAACAGAAACAGAAGCACTAGTGAACTTCTAATTTGTAGTTTTGAATGACACAGAACTTTATTTTGGCTGTTTTTCTTTCCTTTAACTGAACCGTAAATATCAGCCGTCCACACACCGGGGAGCGTTTTACACCTACTGTGGCAAAATTTTCAGTGAGCTCAGAGTTTGGAAGCTGACACGCCGTCTTCTCGCTGCTGTTAAACGCTAGAACAACCCCCTCGCCTTTCATTAACTTGATACCTGTAGGTTGTTTAAAACCACAGAGCATTGTTAAAAAAAAGGGGGACATTTTCTCAGTAATAATAAAAATCAGCCTCTTCCTTTCTGGCGGTCAGGAATGAGCCGCCTTAAGTCAGGTTATAAAATTCATCCTATGTAACAGAGGTGTTTAGATTTGGGTCTTAGTCTTGTTGAAGAAACCAGTTGGTGTGTGTCCAGAATTGGATGGATGCCTGAAAGAGCCTCACACACACATTCTCATTTTGATATCTTAGTGAGGACATCCAATGACATAATGCTTTCCCTAGCCGCTTAGCCTAACCCCCAACCATCAAAAATGAATGCCTAACCCTAACCCTCAACCTAAACCTAACCATAAAATAAATGTAACCCTGACAATAAACCACATTTTGAGTCTCAAAAATTACTTTTGTCACTTTTGTCCTCACAAGTGACTGTTGGTCCCCACAGTAATGTTCCAATTTTTGGACCCCACAAAGATATCGAAACAGGTACATACATACATACACACACACACACACACTCTGAGTGTCTGCTGTTTGTATAACTAAGCCTACTGCTCGCCGATCGAGTGCTCTCCCCTTTAAGTCCAAACTCTTCACACTAACACATGCAGACCCTGATAACTGACGCGCACTTAATGTATTTATTTTCTCTGTTACTCCTCTAACTCACTCCTAAGTGCTACTGCGGTTTCTGCGTTTAAGCTCCTGGGTTCAGTGCCTCAAAGCTGAACCACCACAAAAGTTGCTGAGGTGCTGGATTACATCCTAAATGTACTAGAATTGTTTGTAACACAATGCTGGTGGAGCGGATTGTGAGGTTTACCTTCCACAGACGGTCAATATCTAAAAGTAGGAAATATAAAAGGGGGATTTTTTTTTTTGCTACTTTCTGATAGATGGTTGATAGACTTAATCAAACAAGATTTATTTCACGTTTGAATACAAGTAACGACAGAAAGTTTAAAAATTTATATCTAAGGAGAACTCTGTAAGACCAAAGATGGAAGCTGTCCACTCTCTGCCCGCAAAGAGCCAATCAGTGGCCGCCACAGAAAACATCTGAGCTAATCACTTTGTTTCGACACAGTAGACAAGCAGCAGGTATATCTACTTGTTACTGTAGAAGTGATACAGGTAGCTACATCTGCTCTGTTAATGAAACAGCCATGTTGTAAGGCTTCAGCATGTGTAGCAGACATACAGAATAACCTGCAGGAAAAAGATTTAAAAACTTTATTTTGGGTAAAACAAAAACTAAATATTGAGCTTTCTGTTTAAATCAAACTTGACTGTTGATTCTATACGTGGAGTTTTTACATACTGCTGGCTCTCATGGATCTCTCCTTTTTAATTTAGTTGGAAGCTTTTAAATAACTTGAAAGATGGCTGCTGAGGGGTAAAATTTGCCTTCTAGGAGTTTGAGAAAGCCTGTTGTTTACTACAATCGGCCCAGCTATGACGCCAAATGTGCAGAAACCCTGTGACAGCTGCAAGGGATTGTGTAATATCACAAGACAACCAGCATTTCTGAAAATCTGCCTTTGCTAGAAAACTAGAGGTCAAAGAGGTTTTTATTACTTGTACGTCCGTTCCCGTTGAGGGATCCTCCAGGCCCCTCGGCATAGATGGCCTCCACAGTGATGTTGTATGGGGTGTCCGGGAGCAGATTCTGAAGCATGGCATTGTTTCTGTTTCCTAAAACCAGAGTCTGAAGATCCAAACGGCACAGAGTCAGAGATTTTCAGTAGCCGAAGAAGAAAAAGCATAAATCAGTCAGGAAAGATTTACATCAAGAGCGTCCTGAGTTGCTTTGCTCTCTGCACATCTGCTGCACATGGTATGTGTAATTGGTGAGCGGAGCTGACCCAGTGCTCCCAGTCACAGGAAAAGCTGCCACACCTGCTTTCCACAGAGTTCCTTCCACACACGTCTGCACATGTATGATTTTGGAGATTTCTGCTTCCTTTTCTCTCTTATTCAGTTTTTGGGGAGTTTTCCTGTTTTCTAAATCAAAGATCTAAGAATAAAGGGTGTCATGCTATATACAGAGAGAGACTATAAACTGTGAAGTGAAGATGACTCAAACCACACATCCTCCTTGCAATAAAGTCAAATTCTCGATTATTTTACTTCCTATTTTTTATAGATTTTTATTTATTTATTTTTTTTGCTATCTTAACCAGTTTACTGAAGTGCACTGATTAAGGCCATAACCCTATCAGAAAGTTTTCAAGTGACAAGAAGAGTCCTTTTACCAGGATGGACTTCTTTTTGCAACCAAAGGAATCACCCCCTGCTGGCCAATATAAAGAATGCAGGCTGAAACAACTTCCTACAGCTATGCCCTTATATCTTTTATATACAGTCCATGTTCAGTGGTGAGTTTTGCTCCCTGTTTAAATAAAAGTAAAATAATAGAAAACCATTTGGATTCATCTGGAATTTGAATCAAGAACCCAAATATTAGTTTAAATGTGAAACGGTCAATAAAATCAATTAATCAAAGTTAAATTTGGGTAAAATTTTATTCCAAATTTTAGTGCTAATAAATTTGGTTTGTGCAGTAAGATAAAGAGAAGAGCCTGAAAAATACAAACACTGTTGTTGGTGCACAATTTTACATTTTAGCTTTAATATTTTAGAAGACTACTTCTCTAATAAACAGGAAATAACTTCTTCAGCCTTGTGAGGCAGAAAATTGCTTCTCGGTGGAACACGAACCTTCCACATTATTTACAGATGCTAAATTGATCACTTTGCATCAGTATAAATAATAGTCGTGAGCTCTTTGGTCAGTCCCAGTCTGGAGAACTCCTTTCATCGGCGTCCCTCTGCTGCAGTTAGCTGACTCACTCTGAGCAAGTGTTAGACTAACGAGCAGAAGGGAAGCACAGCTGGGCCGTCTCCGCTCTCCACCATCGTTCCAACTTATTATTCAGAACTATTAATAACGCTATTATGCCCCAAATTATACAGTTTGTTTAACTGAGCCTGTAATTAGTCTCTCTAATCTGTGATTTATATCCTGAATGAGACAAGGGAATCCTGAGATGTGACTTCACCGCATAGTCTGAGGGGGACGTCACAGCGAGCTGTGAATGGCGAGGGTTTGCGGCCAGTTTATCCAAAACAAAACACATCACCACCTGAGATTAATCCCTCTTTATGGGTTAAACAGAGAGTAAGAAATACACTTGAGGTTAGTGGGTTTGATGCATTTCCTCCAAAATGACTTCACCAAAATGTCTCAGCCTCTGAGGTAGTTTTTAAAAATGTTATCATCAGTGTGCGTAGTTTAGTTTCTGCAAGGGTAAGACCAGCTTTCCTTCAGACAATACAGGCAGGTAATCAGAGTGCGAAGGAAAGTATATTTACCCCCAAGCAGGCCACTAAACCATTTTGGAAATGTGGCCATCACTAATGCCTGATTTTACATTTACTGACTGGCTCCTTCTCTGGGACGACTGCTCTACTTTAGCACTGTTACCAGTAACATGTTGATGTTATCTGAGATCATTTGGTATTGTGAACGTCAATGAGCTTGAAGTTTCACTTACAGACTCTGTGATGGGGTCTCCAGTCATGGGTGCGTAGGTGATCTTGTACTGTCTTACGGGCCCTTCAGCGTGATCCCAGCCAATGGTCAGGCTGCTTGTGGTGGCGTCAAACACACGCATGTTCCTGGGACCAGCACGGGGTACTGCACCATATCAAACAGAAGCAGTGTAGGAGAATTTCTTTTAATGTATAAATAGAAATATATTTTTCTAATTCATGAGTAAAAGATTATTTGATTTCTATAATGCTTTAAATCCTACTATAACTACACTATATATATATATACTCACTTAATCTCTATGCCCATTTCTAGTTCTGAAGTTTTACTTTACTGCACCCAGAGTTGAATCCTCATTTACATATAATGGTGCCCACGAAGGCATTTAGTTATACTAGATTATTTATCTTTAAGGGCCCCCTTCCTGAAAGCCCACTTTTTTCTATTTTTTCAGAATAAAGAAAGGAATAAATAAAATGACCAAGGGAAGAAAAAACATTTTAACTAAACTCGAGAATCAACACAATAACAGACCTGTGAAAAACTGAGTATGCCTCATGGTTCAGTAGTTTTTTTAACAGCAATAATGTAAAATATAATTTATCAGTACAGGCCCTTCCACACGAACTGGACCCATTAACATTGTTGAGGACTTCTGGCCCTCTTTTCTTTACAGCATTGATTCACTTCATTGACTTTTGTGAGCATTTGTTTATGCACATCTTTCTTTAAGGTCCCACCATAGCACTTTGATCAGGTTGAGGTCTAGACTCTACCTGGGCCATTTCTTTTCTTTTTTCAGTCATTTGTTTCCATGCTTGTGGTCATTGTGCAGTTTGGGTCGAGCATTAGCTGTGGGACAGATGGCCCGACAGACTGGGATGAATTTGCTGGGACATCCACCCCTGATAGGACTGTGGCATTGAGTTAACACACCTGAATGCTCCAGACCTGCCAAACTTCAGCTTTTATAGAGGTGCTCACACTTGCTGATGATCAATTATTCAAGTGCACTTAAATATCAGCATTTGACTTCTTATCCTCTATTATTCTATGGAGGTAGTGAGGGTGTACCTATGTTAGCTGGCTAATGCTAACATAGCTTCTGTAAAGTTGTCTGTTTCCCTCCAAATGCCATGGTTTGCTTTTAATATCTAAAAGACGAAGGAGACTAATAAACCTGAATGCATAGAATATCCCAATTGCATGACTACTAAAATTAGAAAAACTAAATTTAAAGTTTTGCATATTAAACTTTGTCCATCTTTACTCTGCATCTCTAAGGTGCCAGTCATATCACTGACTTGTTTCCAGGTAATCCAAAAAGCTATAAAATGTTCACGCAGCTGTTTCTTCTTAGTACCACCTGCTTTTCCAGCCTTTCCCAACTTTTTTCAGATGTATTGCTGCCATAAAAGTTCTAAATGAGCTAAAGATTTTTATGAAATTGTAAAATATCTCAATTTAAGCATCTGATATGTTTTCTATTATGGTTAAAATACGGGCTTACGAGATTTAAAAAAATTATCACATTCTGTCTTTATTTACATTTTGGGTTTTGTATAAAAGATATTAAATAATTAATTTTCCATACAAGGCTCATTTGTTCATTATAGTCGGAGTTTTACGATCACCACCAATGATATGATCCAATATTTGCTAAGAGGAGTGCAGTCAGCAACCCGAAATTTAAATCTGCTTGTACTTATTGTGTTTTGCATCACTGCATGCTACAGATGTAAACTATTGCGAGTAAGTCATGTGATTCTACACAGCATCAGAATGTGACATTGTCATTGTGCTTACATGTTTTGCCATTGTCCTTCACCGCTGATCCCTCGCCGTCGGCGTACAGAGCGGTGACAGTGACGGAGTAGGGAGTATCCGGTATCAAGTTGTCCAGGAAGGCGTTGTTAATACTTCCTGAAACCAGAACCTTTTTGGAGAAGAAGCGTGGGAGTCAAAATATATATTGATATAATCATCAACGAGTGTCTGCCTATTCAAATGAGCCTCTTCACGCATTACATACAGATCTGGCAGGAGTAATATACATAATGACCTCAGTGCTCATCTTGCATCCAGTGTTCGGCAAGGTTTCTTCTGCCAAAAGGTTCCTCAAACACTAACAAAGGCTTGGAAGGTGAAATGCTAAACAAACCATCGGTCAGTGGGAGACGTGTTCTAACAACACGAGTGACTGCAGACTGTCACTTGTCACTGGGATTATCACATCATCTATGCTCAGCTCTTTAGCTGGTTTGTGGGCCATAAAAGTCTCTGCCGTTACATCATGGGAAATATATCTTCTGCTTGGAATCGAGTTCCCCCTCATCTTGGGACTGGTTTGGTTGCAGCAAATGTTTTGGGCCGAAAGGTTTTGGCATGTTGGACCATGAAATAGGTTTCACAGCGATGATGTAGTGGCTAAGATCCCACAACTGGAAGCACACATACACACCTACACATGCACAACTGTTAGCCTGGGGTTAAAGCCCACCAGTAAACTCTAAAGTGAGGACAATGGATTGGACACGGTCCTTTTAAAACATTATAGTCATTTCCTGAAAGCAGTACTGCTCTCGAGGGCTGGGATGCACTTCATTGGCTGAAGTAAACCTGAATGATGAGGCCGAAGTATGCAGTTGTTCTGGGTAACTGATGGTCTTTTGAATGGGACACATTCATTGTTTTAAGAAGTAGAGGAAAACTGAACAAGCCAGTGATACGGCATTTATAGATTTGTAAGTAATTCAAGACGAAGCCCATGAAAAGAAGTTTCCCAGGATGTCATTACTGATGCTTGAATTCTGATGTATGTATATAACTGCTAAAACCTAATAACAAAAACTTTTAAATGTTCTTTCACAATGCTAAGGTTGTTAATCCAGCTTTAAATTATTTTACTTTTATAGAGGCAGAGATTATTATTGATCCAGAGATCATAACATGTCACTGAAACTGAGCTCCTTATAGAGATGACAGGGGGAACAGGATGGCAGGCAAAAAAAAAGATCCCAAATAAAAACGTATCTCAACTTTCATGTAAGCAACTGTAGATATTGCCAGTGGGAGTGAATTATACCATTTATAAAATATGATGAGGGAGATAATTACAGTACAGGGTTATCTCCCAATCATCAGCTACAAAGTGATGACCAATAACATCCTAGAGCAGGGGTAGGGAACGTTAGTCCTCGAGAGCCGTGGTCCTGCAGATGTCAGATCTCACCCTGGGTCACCACACCTGAATCAAATGAATAGTTCATCACCAGGCCTCTGGAGAACTTCAAGACATGTTGAGGAGCTAATTTAGCCATTTAAATCAGCTGTGTTGGATCAAGGACACATCTAAAACCTGCAGGACACCGGCTCTCGAGGCCTGGAGTTCCCTACCCCTGTCCTAGAGGATGTCTAAGGAAGGCATCTAGTGCACTTTCATAGGCAGTTGTGATCCCATTAATTTCTACAAACAGATTTATTCATATGAATATGCAGAATCTGTAGTCAAGGAACACGATTTTTGGTACCAAAAGCTTTTTGGTTTCCAATTTTGATGTACTGATTAACCTGTATGTGCAAGCTTTGGTAGCATGAAGCTAAACATTCTGTCTGGAGGGATGGGATTTGCAGGGATGCAATTCAGAAGCATGAACATCATCTGATTCCACTTTGTCAGGTTTTATTAGCTAGTCCTGTAATGGACTGGTGATCTGTCCAGAATGTACTCAAAGACAGCCAGGACAGACTCTAGCTACATGGATGAGTGCTTACCAAATGGATGGATGATTTATTAGCATTTTTAAATGATGACCAGCAGACAGAAACTGAAATCTTGGTTTGGATACTTGCTGGCTAAACAGGGAGCTCTAAACAACCAGTTCGCCAAAGACCAAGTCAGCAAACTAGCCAATGGGTTCGCATATTGGGATCCCTAAAGGTAAATAGACGTGTTTCTTAGATTAATAGTGCTACAGCACATACCGATATTTTAAACAAACATGTGCTTCCAGTTAATTCCCAGTCAGGTGTAGGTGGCTGCTGTCATCCAGCACCTTCAAACCTTCTGTTATCACCTAACATCAGTGCTGGACCTTACTGATATTCTTCAATGTGAACAAACTGCAGCCATAGCACTGAAGTTTTGACCACAGCTTTAGATTTGTGCTTGGAGGACATAAAAATCACATCTGGAAATAACATTAAAGCATCCACATAGATTTGATCTTATTTTTTTCCTTCTATAGAGCACTTGTTTAATGCAAACCACTGATGTTTAACCAGAATAAAATGTACTGTTAAAGAGCTCTGCTTCTCAGTTCTAATAATAATACTGATAACATACTCAGAGGAGCTTCAGCGCGTGAAATAACAAATCTGTGATGTAAAATTCGATAATTTAGACTGAATTAGTCACCAAGAGTTGTAAATCTTTGTACTTCTGAACTCATCTTTGTGTCTTCTTTCTGTGGCCAAACCAACTTCCTCTCAGACCAAAACAAAATCAAAGTTAATTAAATGAAAGTACAACAACAGCGAAAATAGAAGGAAACAGAGACCACAGGGAATAATAAACTATACAACACTAACTTCACAGCATCTTCAAAGCTGATTCTAATCATCAAAACAGCCTTGTTAGATTACAGCCTTAAGGCCCCCAGGACCTCTGACCGTAGGAGCTGTTGGTGACGTCAGTCACAGATGTGTCCGGCATGCAGTGTTTCCAAACTTCAGCCACAGAGTTCAAACTTTTTGTGGGGAAATTAAGCTTCTTTTTTTCTCTCCCTGAGACCCAGACATTTGCACTGGTGCATTAAATCAGTGCTGATGGAGACGTATGAAAAGCCGACAAGTCATGATTTCCATATTTAAGAGCATTACCATAATTACTGCTGTGCAGACATCTGCGCAACATCACCACTTGGTGAAACAAATAGGAACGAGCGAAAGAGACCACTTGTTGTTTCCATGAAACAGACCGGCCCAATGAAAGCAACACTCCCGCTTTGATTTCACTTTTTTTTTTTAAAATCAGATGTAGAGGACACAGATAAAAATGACTTAACTACCAAAATTACAACAAACAAATACAATAAGTTTGGTTATTAAGTTCACATCCAATATACAGGAATAGTGTCCAGTTTAGAGAAAAGCCAGATGTATGGTGATGTGATGTGAAAGACATTTGTTTGTACAAGCAGAACTTAAGTCTTGTTTAGGGATTTCCATTCATGTCCTAAATAAATAACATTGAGTACCAAGCTAAAAATAACAACAAGGTCAAGAACCAGCCTTTATAGCCAAGTCAAGACTCTTAGGTCAAAAGACTTTCTGAAGAAAAATCCCTGAGTCAAAAACAACAAGTGGCCAGATGTGTCTGGGCAGGAGCAACAAAAGCAAATACAGGAAGAAGGTGCTGTGTTGTGCACTAGTGGAGAATTTACGTTTTATTTCTTGACTAATTGCTAGCTGTACAGACCTCCGCGCATCTATATTTACCTCGCCACATTCAGAAGAAAAAGCATATGTATCTACTGGAAGTTTTTTAGCTCAAACGTGGAACGTACACCTGGTAGTTTGTTTGGATTCAGGTCACGTTGAAACCATAAACTTACAGCTCTGGAGTTCATTTGGACCTGCGCTAAGACCCTTTGGAGGTTGTGGTCTTGGTTGTTTTGGACCACACCCAAGTGTGATTACCGTGTTCATATCTGCACAAATGAACCACACCAAGGGGGAAAACTAATCGAGTTTGACTAAACACTGCAGGTGTGCAAACAAAGAAAGTCGAGTAAGTGTCACGGGGTGGAAAGGGACAAGTTTCTAGGGTTTTTTACTATGCATGTTTTGCCGCGTTTTACCTGTTTTAATATTTTAATATTGTACATTGGTTTATTTTTATGAGTTTTACTGCATGTTTTTATGGTATTTATTTGGTGACTTGTCCTGGAAAGACTCCGCCCCTACCTGATAACAAACCTGATCACACCTGGGAGGTCCCAGAGGCCAATAAGAGGGCCTGGCAGACCACACAAAAACAGGCTTGAGGAAGAGGCTTGAGAAAGAGACGTGAGAGACGGGCAGGAGTGAGTGGTGTCAGGCGGCGGCGCCGCCTGCAAGCCCAGAGGGCTGGTGGAGCTTGGTGTCAAGCACAGAGGAGGATACAGCGCCAGTGTTGTGCCAAAGTAGGTATCCCCGACAGAATTTGTTTCCCCTGCGTCGGGAGCACACGCTGGACTGTCCAAATCACGGACAAATAGTATCCCACATTGTTGATTTTTAGTTTACAAACACTTCTTATAATGACTAACTACTCCTGACATTTTTGAGATGTTAGCTCTTTATACAACGAAGTTATAGTGGGATACAAATAATATCAGGCTGATCCTGCCACAATTTGTCCCCCCTGTGTAAATCACGGACAAACAGTATCCCACATTGCTGATTTTTCGTTCACAAACACTTCTTATTATGAAGCATTACTCCTGAAACTTTGGAGGATTTAGCTCTTTATATAGTAAAGTTATAGGAGAATAAAAATAGTTATCAGCCAAAACGTTAATGGTTTGTTAAAAATAATCCCATCTGATACCCGTGAGCAATAAATATATAATTTTCTGTTGTAACCCTCAAACTGAATGGTAATGTAACAATACTAATTTTTCACTTTTTCACAAAATGAAAACATCAGTACTTCTTGGTGCTCCCAGCACAGGGGAAACAAATTCTGTCGGGGATACCTACTTTGGCACAACACCGGCAACCAGAGACGCAGAGCGAGCGGTCCGATTGCTGCAGCAACAGGAGGCCAGAGTACGCGTCTGCAGAGAATTGGAGGCGACGAGACGGGCCGGTGCCGAGTGGCAGTTACAAAGAAGCGGCGGGCGGAGTTGAGAGCTCTGCCCACCCGGGGTAAGTCTCTGGACTTTCCCCTTTTAATGATTCAAAGCTGCCTAAAAGAGTAGTAACTGCCGCTGCCTCCCTCCTTTAGCACACCGGGCACAGAACGTGGAGAGGAAGGCGAGGACGCCGCCGGGTTCCCCTCCTGCACCGCTCCGCTGGATTTTTAACCTTTAGTGACTCTTATATCGTGGCGGACGCCACTGGACTTTTAATGTTGTGTTTTATTGATTTTTATTGTGTTGTTCCCTGGCCAGGGTTGTTTTAATCCATTTTACATTTTTAACTATTTAAATATAATAAATTATATTTTAATTTTACAGTTTTAAATTCGTGTGCTTTCCCTTGGCGGCTCCACTGCTCTGTCCGTTTTGGAGGAAGGTTGCCCCTCCTTTAAACGAACACTGAAAAACATCACCTTCGCTCCGTTACATAAGAACAGCAAAAATACAATAATACAAAAGTCGGATCAAGAATTCCCAAGTCCTTAGTTGACATCTAACACAAAGATATGCCAGCCCAAGTAAGATCAGCAAGTCAAATGTCAAGAATGGCATTTTCCAGAAGAAGAAAGCCAAAATGAAGTCAGAGACTTTGGGTTTGGTGTCCTAAACAAGCTATCAAATAAAACAGCATGTTCAGAAATCTGAATTAAAGACAAAAATCTCGAGAATATAGCTGATTTTCCATTGATGGAAAATGCAAAACACAAAATGATTGGATTATTACTTTATATTTACTTATATATCAAGAGAAAGAGCAAGAGAAAGTGCAAACCCACGTTGGTAAAGCCAAGTCTTTTTGTGACTGTGTCGTGTGCATACCTCTGCTAAAGTATAAATATACGCTGGATTTATAAAGGTTAATTATCTTTTATGTATTACATTCCCTTAAATTTTGGTTTTGGACTACTTTTTGGAAAAAAAACATGATCTGTAGAGATGTGTTGAATTCTGGGTAATCCTGATACTTCTTGTAATTTTATAAACTATTGATTAAAAAGAAAAATAGCTGACCGATTAGTTGATATGGAAGATAATGATTATCAGCCATAATCTCTCCTTTATCTAAAAACAAACAAAAAAACCCAGGATAAGATCATTCATTTATTTTTTCAGTGTAATTCCACTTATCTCAGGAATTTCCTGGAGGCACATCATATCTAACAAGAGCTGACCTGCAGCTTTTGGAATGTGATGACTTAAACTGGGAAAAAATATTATCCAACCTCACTCTTTTATGACTGTTAAATCACACAAGAGGTTGTTATTTTTGTGTCTTCACATTCTTCACTTCTCATGACCAGACAGAGATTTTCCTCCCCTCAAGGAGAATGCTTCTAATGACAGTTTGTGTTTTAACTGCAGAAAGCTACTCACCGACTCAGATGGGCTTGCACCGGTTAGGGGGGCGTAAGCCACCCGGTACTGCTGAACCTGGCCCGTGGCTGGCTCCCAGCGCACATTTAGGGTATTGGGGGTGGGATTGTACACCTTGATATTCCTGGGTGGCATGCGTGGAACTGCAAACGGGAGAGAGGTGAAGAGAACGTGAAGTTAGGAACGAGGGAGAGGTGTTAGTTTTCCTCACTTAGCAACACAACATCAAAACTAAAGGTTTGTTCCAAGTACATCTTACTTTATTGCCTAAAACTGACGGGACAACTAATGGATTTAGAAGAGATTACATTCCTTTAAATGTGAGTGTCAGTAAGTGAAGAGCGGAACAGAACAGGGAGGATTGGATCCTTGGTTTAAGTTTAGAGTTAAAAAGCAATAAACTTTTTCAAAACATTCTTCAAGCAGCTCAGAAATGCAGTAAACTTCAAATTATTGTATTCTGTTAGAAGTGCAAATGAAACATACTCATCTATATTGACTTCTTTTCAACAGGCAGATGTTATAGTTTGGGCTTTGGTCTCTGAGTTTCATCTTTATGTTTCTTGTAGTTTTTTTTTTTTTTTTTAATGTCCCAGGTACGTTAGCATCTTTCCTTTTCCATTGTCTCAAGTGGCTTTAAAACCCAGTTGGAACTTTTTACTCTTATTTTGCAAACTGAAACTAATAAGCAGAAAGCTCTAGTCCGAGCCCCCTCAATACTGCCTTTTTCTGTTGTAGGTAGGTGTGAAGGGGAAAATCACACTACGCTGTGCAGAAATGTACTTTATGCCTTTATTTAAATGTAAGTAGTTAATCTGGATTTTTGTGTGTGTGAATTTCTGTGTATGTAAACAGCAACAGATTTGTAATTTCCTCCATATTTATCAAAAACAGGCTGCATGTAATGGCCAACTTGATTCCGTTTAACTGCAAACTGATAGCACACTGATGCCCGATGCAGATGTCCACTCCTCCATGAGTCTGTTTCTGACAGAGGTTTTTTCTTCCCACTGTTGCCTCATAGGCAGTCATCTGATTGTTGGGCTTTCTCTCTATTATTGCAGGGTGTTTACCTTACAATGTAAAGCACTCTTAGGTGACTGTTGTTGTGATTTAGTGCTATATAAATAAAGCTGAACTGAACCGATGAGGTTGAAGTGGTTGAACAAAGTGGTTGAAGACCTGGTGCCTGCCTTTGAAGCAACCGCTTCAAAGGCAACGAGCTCATAGTTCATTGGACACAATCACAATAATTTTGGTTGGGCTGTGGTCTCCAACCAACTTTAGGATTAGCAAACTGAAAAATGATCAGTTGAAGTCAAAGTTACGTTTCAAGTGTTTTCCGACTAGAAACTGAAACCCTTCATTGGGCTTTCAGACCTGCTGGTTTATGGCTAACTTTAGCGGTTAGTCTGTTTGTGTTATTGTGTGACTGTGGTGTTCTAACTAAACTAAAATAAACATGTCACAAAGGGCTGTAAGACTACAACTTATGTGGTGAAATGTTCCGAAGCGTAGCCTTTACATAATCAAACAAGATAATAACAATTGCATTGTTTAAGTTATTTGAATCATTTCTAAATTCTGTTAATCGTGTTTTAATTTGTGTTTATTTTTAGAATGTGATTTACTTTGTTGGTAAAACTGGTTCAATACAACAAAAAAAATGTATTTTATGAAGAAAGAATCTGTAATCCAAGAATTAATATCATTGTGAAACTACGGGATTGAAATGAAATGCTGAGTGCAGCACAAATCTGCAGGACAGTCAGTTTACAATGTCTGTGTAGAGAGAGAAGTAGCACAGATTTGGGTTTATGCAAAAGCCTCTTTTAAACCAAACCAGATGTGTGTATCCCCCGGTATCTTGAGCTCTAGCCAGTAAAAGGAAAACTAGATGCCTCCTCCTCGATAAGGTAAAAACCTCCAGAGTGAAACCTTCACAGTCATTGTTTTCTGTAAAGTCTGTCATCCAGGGACAAAATTACTCTGTCCTTCAGAGAGATTATGTAATCTGTAACATTTAATTTGCTGTTTCTGTCCAGACCAAATGTGACAAATTTCTCCAGGGAGCAAAACAGTAAAACTGGGCCAAGACTGGTAATAAAACTTCATTAATGTCACCCTCAGGCTCATATTCTCTGATAGTGACTCACTCTGAGGTCCGATGTGTCACTGCTGCTGCTGTGATAGAGAGGTGGTGTCATGTTCCAGCACGCAGATGCTACTGGTTCGCTTATTGCAGCAGCCAGCATGTCTGTATAAAGTGCTTGCAAATGATCGGAGGACTTAAACAACCCTTACAAACTGTCACATTTTTAGTCCTTGCTGTCTCATATTTCAGCTTTAACAAACAAAAAAAGTCCAACCGGGTATTTGTGGATCGGTTTCTGGGAATTCAACCCGTGAAACAAAAGGAGCGTCGCCTACCTGAACCTGAGTCACCAACTTCTGCCTGCCACAACCAGTATGAGTGTGTGACAGCTAACCATAATAACCCAACCGCGGAGGGATGGTAAGGGAAAAAAAATTCCAAGATTTCAACACGACACCATTTCTAAGCAATGAAACGGCGAATAAAACACCATGTACACCAAAAATGAGACAAGGGTT